GAGGGTAATCGGGTTTTGCCTTGCTTACTGATCAGAGATCATCCTGGATTAGGAAAGAGGTGAAGTAAGGCCATGTAAAGCTAAGCAGGCAATAAGATAAAAGGGAGATGGTGATTATATAACATTGCAAGGGTTAATAAATTCATGCAAGAAAGATTTTCTATTGTGCTTATGTTCTTACACAGTTTATACAAATGCTATCAAAATGTATTGTTTGGTAAGAATGAAGTGACTGTATTAATTAATCTATTTGTGTCAGTGAAAACCCCCCAAAACACACACAATCCCCCTAGCCCCCCAAACCATGTACATGTTGAAGTAGGCCTCTATAACATTATAGTGTTTGTGAGCACACTGTCACTGAGAGGTAATCTAGGCACCCTAAGAACCCCAGGGAAAAAATAAAATAGTGCTAATAATGATATTTGCTATCCGCATTAAAAATCAGCAGGAAAAACAACGTAAGTCTCTGCTTAGCGTACACCTTGTATTTGATGACACATCAGCCAATAGTGACTAAATAGTTTACAGGATTTCTATCAATTTATGAAGTGAAATTTGTTTTTCTTTTGATTGCTATGGGCCACACTGTTTTTGGAATGTGTCACAAAACAGTTAGCATTTCAAGATTAAAACAAATCATGAGTCTTTAATATCTGATGTGTGATTCACTGATTTACAGATCCACACTGCACAATGACGCTGAACAAGAGAGAAAAGCTGGGGTCACTACGACAGCACTGGGGAAGCCTTCCTCTTAATTTTGAGCCACGACGACGTGGTAGTATGCCACTACCCTACAAGCACCAGCTGAGACGTGCACAGGCTGTGGATGAGCTTGATTGGCCAAGTGTTCATTCTGGATCATCAGAATCTGTGAGGTCTTCAGAGAGTATTCCAGAGCCAGGGGTCTACAAGGTGATGCTTCTAGGTGACAGTGGAGTGGGCAAAACAACTCTAGCTGGCATATTTGGAGGGGCAGAAGATACCTTCCACCATGAAGCAGAACATCCAGGTGACATCAATGGGGAAGTATATGGAGGGTGGACGGGGGACAGATTAATAATGGAATTTAAAGTAAGCAGATTATTCTATCTTTAGAGGACACATATGAGCGGAATCTGCTGGTTGATGGAGAAAAGACGACCTTGATAGTTTATGACATCTGGGACCAGGTAAGGAACAGTAATTAAATCCCACCTACCTTTTCACAATCGTGTGCCAGGGAATATGCGGTCTTCCCTAATCTTTGTAGTGTAGTACAGCTAAAGATATATAAATATCTGTATAAATACTCCAAAAACGTATTGTTAAAAAAAAACACTTTCTAGCCTGCCCTCCAGTTACTTCCCATGCACGGCACAAATACGTTTAAGCTCAGTTGTCCTGTTACATACATAACCTAGTAGTTTAGAACCAAAATGTTAGGTAACAGCTCCATGAAAAATACAACAATCCCAGAACATCACATTGACCTTATCAATGAGGCATAAGTGATTTTTCTCTAGGTAAAGTGAGTATGAGGTCTAATTCTAGATATCCTTCCCCTACAAGCTACCATCAATGTCCTGTATCAATCTCCCTGTCTGGCCCACAGAGTTGGATGCAGGACAACTGTCTACAGATGGGGGATGCATTCCTCCTCATATTCTCTGTGACAGACCGTGCCAGTTTTCAGCGCCTTCCTGGTTTACTACTACAGCTACGAACAGCTCGGCCACATCGCCGCATCCCCATAATCCTCGTTGGCAATAAGGGTGACCTGGCTCGCTCCAGAGAAGTCAGCGTTGAAGGTATTTTCACCTTTTGAAAGGCAGTCACTGTTAAACAGTTTGAATCGTAACACAAAAAGCTTACGAACAAAAAAAAAGTTATACTTATATTTCAATTCTGTATCTTGCACCATCGCCCAATTTATTCACACAGCATTTGGAAAGTTATTTGTTAATGTATGTTTCGTATGAACCTAAAGGATTATTATCTTTTGTTGGTCACTCTCTTTCCAGAGGGGCGCTCTCTGGCAGGTATGCTGAGCTGCAAGTACACAGAAACATCAGCAGCTCTCCATCACAATACTCAAGAGCTGCTTGAGGGTGTGGTGAGACAAATCCGCCTTTGCAAAGATGAAGGAGAGCATACACCCCAACCTGCTACATTGCTTCCTCCGGGCCGCAGGGAGAGCTTGACCAAGAGGGCTCGGCGTCTCTTACAGGGGCTGATGGGAAAACATCGTGGTTTCTTCAAGCAAAGATCAAAGTCCTGCCATGACCTTTCTGTACTGTGACTTACAGACTACCCTCTCCATAGACCTCGAAGAGGTCAGACACAGACTGAGTCAAGCTTAGACTGACACAAGGGGAGGCAATGACTATGTGGACATGCTAGTACACTATGCGAACATAGTAGGCAAAGACTGATCAGTCAATCTCTTATCTGACCAAAAACTCTGGAAGGTAAAATCCAGTGTCTGACAGCATAATAATGTCTGCTTTGTGGCATTCAGCCACAGGATAAAGTTGGTCCTACACTACGACCATTGTGTTCCAAACACCATGCATTCAACACAGGATGGAATCATGAGTTGGGGATTACACCCAAATATCATGTCTAGTCACCAAGGACTAGTTGCCTTTTGAAACTACCATCAGATCATACCTCTCTATACTGCTATCATTACTACACATAATGTACAACCTTTCAAAACATTATACATACCACAATTAAACACAAGTGCTTCATACTTATAGTAAAGGCGAGGTATATTGAATAGATAATGCAGGAACATAGTAACAAACTATTAGAGGCATTGCATGTTATTGACCATTGTCACTGTTTTTTTACTGTAAAAAAATCATCTGCATAAATAACGTGATACTGTTGCGTGCAGGCAATGTTGGTTAGAAGTATAATAACATAATATGTGGTACAGTACCATATATGAAGTGTAGAATGAAGACGGGTATAGAAAAGATATCAGGCGGCTGGGGGAGAAGGTGCATGTCTGATAGTGGGGGAGGTAAGGGAGATGGGAGCTACAGTGGTATTTTTGGGCACGCTTTATTATTATAGGCATTTATATAGCATCAACCTATTCCACAGCACTTAACAATAATACAAAAGTGAGAATTTAACAATCAACTATTTAAAAATTTGACCGGAACAATAGGTTGATGAGGACTTTGCTATAGATCTATCTGAGAACAAAAATTGCTTCCTCTTAGTGAAGTGCTTTCAGTGCATAGATCCTGCCGCTTTGCTGTTGAAAATAAAATCGAAAAACAGCACTGTTTCCTTTTCTTTTTGCAATGTCCACACCTCTAGTGGCTGTCAGACAACTACTAGGGCTTTGAGCTAAATAGATGTTATGCCTGGCATCAGCAGGCAAGAATGAGGACACTAGAGGATGAATATATATGTGCAATGCTTCTTTATGAGAAGCATTGGGTTGGGGGATAGTGGTGATATCCAAAGCAGGTGCCGGATGTCCACAGTGCGTTTCTATGAGAAAAGTTTGACTGGACACAGATCATCAAGCTCAATATCACTGGAAGTAGGACGGGGCTGCAGTCTGTTGTAACACTGGAAGAAAGGTAAGGGTGAGTTTTAACAATTTTGCTTTCAAAGATGCACCCTATAATATAAACACTAAAAGTATCAAAGAGTATAAAAAAAATTTTGCTGAGTTTTTAAATTTTATTTTAAATTAAAGTGTTCCTTTAATACGTGCACGTATTGAAATGGGGTGTGGGTGGGTGAACAGATCTTTTAGACTTCTCACAGTGTTCCGAGCACCTCTATTCTCTGTACACCTTCCACCCGCCTCTCCCTCCCAATCTAGTTCTCTGTCTCTCGACCTTAAAAGGAAAAATTCATCTCAACAGTCTGTGTTGTCATGGAGACCACAAGCCAACTATCTAGCACTGCTCCCATGGATCTGGGGGATATGTTGCCATGGAGATCCATTCAATGTACCCCATACCACAGTGAGGACTATTGTAATGGGAGCAAGAGAAATACGAAATGTTTCTGTAAGCAGGCATTTCAAGGCCAAGCACCGTGAATGTGTATGAACATAATGTACCCGTACTGATAGATTACTCTTTATTTATGAAAGGAAAATACTAATCACTGCTGTACAGATCTGTTAAACAAAATGGTTTAACTCTGCCCTGCAAGCTACAAATGAATTAAAATCAAATTGAGTCGGCCCAGTGTGCTTGATTCTTTTTCAGTATATAAAAAGATTTAATTAATTCTATCAGTAAAAGGAAATCATGCCCAAAACAAGAAAGAAATAATTACTTTTAAACTGTTTATCGTATTGTACTACCTGCTATTTTGTGTGCATTAGCACGTCTACTATATATGTATATCTTCAGGTAAATAGGGTAACATCTGAACGTCTGCTTGGATGCTGCTATCATCTCACCTTACATGTAAACCCTTCTTTTTATGTGCAATTTGTAAAACATTGTAAATATGTTTGTCAGACTAGTGTTCTCATCATTTAAACATCAGTGTGTGAGCAATGTTATCAGAAAACTTGCTCCCCGAAGCTTCCTTTTGTTAAATTATAGATAAGTTCTATAAATGTGCTCAACTACTCAGAAAGATACAAAAACAGCAATAAGAACTATGCAGTACATAAAAATATTTAACTCGATGGTTCTTCACCCACATCTGGGCTCAAAGCCATTTTATTTTGTCTCCATTGAATGGAACGAGCACAACGTAGATGCTAAATGTTAAGGAATTAGGGATATCTATCCAAAAATCACGATGTACACTCCAATAGCCACACAAAATTCAATACTTTACTCAAAAATTGCTCAGTAAAAACATAATATATACAAAGTGACCAGACACAAAGGCACATTGTATAAAGGCTAAGACACAGTATACTAAAGTAATTACTATAAACTTTAGTAGCCTGTCTGGCCAGAACATGAGTCACAACCCCGCCCCCCAACATTTTGACATCTCCATGGCTGCCTTTTAGAAAATAACCCTAAGCAATTTTTGATAAAGCATTGCATTTTATGTAGCTGTTTCTAGTGTGCATCCTGATTTTATATAGATATGCTTATTTAAGGGAGTGCCTATTTAGGCTTGCACTTTATTGTGGATTTTTGAGTTACATGGTATGCCCTCCTATGCAATACTACTGTCTTGGGGTAGTCTTGGACGTTTCTTGTGGTTTACTAATCGTCTGTGTAGTTGTCCCCTGGTTCCCACAGCAAGGTATTTTTGTGTGTAAAAAGAGGCATTAATTAACAGAATGTAAATAGAATTTAGCCTCTTTACAAATCACTGTTAAAACCACATTTTGGAGGGGCGTGGCTAGCGGCCGAGAAGAACGGTCGCATGGTGTGAGAGCTCCCGGCCGTTATAGCCCTCACAGCCTGACATTTCGAAGCCACATGCCCTAAAATCGGGCCAAACAAGCACCACCACCAGCAGCCTGCAGCAATGGCCACTGCTAAACAGACGAAGCTCACGGACCCGGTCCGCCAACAAAAACGGGACAAAACGCGGCCTATACAAGATGGCGGCGACGGCCTAGCGACATCACAGTCCACAGACTCCCCCCTGGAACAAGACACTGATGTAAGCCTATACACTGATGCCCCAGTCACGGAGAGGAAGCTCTTTATGATGCTGCAAGACTTTAGAGTTACTCTGCAGAGGGACCTCAGGCAGGCAACTAATGACATCAAAAAAGAAATTTCAGAACTGGGGGAGAGGACGAACAGCTTGGAGGCAAGACAAGAGGAACTCTGCTCAGCACATGACATGCTGGCAGAAACTGTACAGAATCTAAGCGAAGAACACATGGCTTTAAAAAAGAAGATGGCCGACATGGAAGACCGCTCGAGGCGGAACAATATCAGATTCCGAGGGATCTCAGAATCTGTGGCAAATGACGGCATAGCTGCAAACATATTGACATTGTGCAAATCACTGGCGCCAATGATTCCGCAACAGGAGTGGATCATGGACCGAGCACACCGGCTACCAAGACCTCAAAGGCTTGCGCAAGACACGCCACGTGATATAGTGGTGAGATTCCACTTCTTTAAAACTAAAGACGCGGTTCTCGCAGCGGCAAGGAAAGCAGGAACATTACCGGCGCCATACGATAAAGTTCAGCTATTTGCAGATCTGTCAGCAATGACAATGAGCAGGAGTTTATAACAGTCACAAAGACATTAAGAAACAACAGCATTCAGTACTGCTGGGGGTACCCAACCAAGATCATCGTTTGGAAAAATGGAAGGACATATACAGCGAACGAACCGGAGGTGGGCATGCGACTACTGAAAGAGTGGGGGTTATTCCCGCTGAGGTCTCCGGACGGAGCGACAGTGGAATCACCGTCACGCCCGCAAAGAGAGTGGCAGATGGCGGGCTCGCCCTCCAAAATCTGACGACTTACAGGTCCCTCACCACAAGGACTATTGTGAGATAAACAATGACTGTCAAGCTTGCTACTTGCTAACGATTGAAAGGTTGTGAGTATAATTAAATGTGTTACTATATATGGGGACATGACACCACAACCATACCACGACACTCCAGCTACTGGAGAGACACACACGATTACCCTAAAGGGTAGCAGCACAAGAGGAAAAGAGCTTCGTAACCCCAGATAGGTCTCAATTTGGTAGCATTAACAAGATGGGCAGGGGTAATTGGTTGGTCAATTTATCAATACATCCATTAATTTCAAAGGACAGGGCGGAAACAAACATTGATGGGGGCTGAGGGTGGCACGCTCTCACAACCAGACCATCCCCTTGGTTTGCGCGCAGAGACGGGACAAAACACCCAACTTGCGGCTAAACCAGGAAGAGCGCTAACAAAAATAATGGCGCTATGTACATACTTGTTTTTGTTACAAACACGTGGTTATGTTATCCCGGTTATATCCCAACCCCTTCCTTCCTGGACAGCCTCATCACCACTTGCTATGCATTATTGCCCGTACACGCACGAACTGTACAAGCAGCCTAACAAAAGACCGTATGGCTGACGAACTAAAAATCCTAACCCTGAATGTGAAAGGCCTTAACAGCCCCCATAAACGCAGACTGGCAGCAGTGGAAATGAGTAAATCTAAAGCAGCTATAGTGTGCTTGCAGGAGACGCACTTCTGCATCCGCAATGCCCCGAGGTTTAACGTCAAACAATACACCCAAAACTATCACGCCCTATCACCGACTAAATCCAAGGGGGTGGCCGTGTACTTCCATAGAGACTGGGTTTTTTCACTCTCTAAACAATATGCTAGACGGGACGGGAGGCTGCTGGTTTTGGTAGGTTCCCTGAACGGACTACAAATAACAATAGTCTCACTATATGCCCCGAATGAAGCGCAGAAACGATTTCTAAACAGGGCGTTCCGCACAATCGCACAACACAAACAAGGACACACCATCATATGCGGGGAACGCTACCCTTTGCAAAGAGCGTACAAATAGGCTCAATCATGTGGTCTGACCACGCTCCACAAATTATAATTTTAAAAACACCTTACCCAGCTAGGGGTCGAGGCACATGGCGCCTCAACGAAGGCCTTTTGGACACACCGGGGAATCTCCGTCAAATACAGGCCAAAACGCAGGAATACTTCGAGACCCATGCGACCTGCCAGACAACAATTATCACCAAATGGCTAGCTCATAAGGCAGTCATAAGGGGAGATTTTATCCAGATGGGGGCGAGAGTAAAAAAGCAATATAACAATGAAAGATCACGCCTTGAACAAGAAATAATCACACATGAAGAGGCACATAAACATAAACCCACCAAACGCACACACGGCACACTGACAAAGCTCAAAACACAACTAAACTCTCTTCACTTAGTGGAAACTGAAAAAAGGATGCGGATTCTCAAACAGACATATTATACCATGGGCAACAAGGCAGGAAAATTACTAGCCCAACGAGTCCGTCAAACCAAATTACAGTCGAAAATACCCTATATCACCTCAGAGCAGGGAGCAAAACTATATAACCCCCAGGACATAGTCAACGAGTTAGCTCGGTACTATGCGTCCCTTTACCAGTTAGACAGGGATCGAGGCATTCACCAGCCGACTAAACAGGAAATCACATGTTTTCTAGAGCTGATAGACTTACCGAGCCTGTCCCGAGAGCAATGCTCCGCACTGGAGGCACCCTTCTCAGAACAGGAAATTGAAGAGGCCATTAAGTCCCTACCTAAGCATAAAGCCCCGGGCCCAGACGGCTTATCAAATTATTACTATATAAAATTGTCGCCGCATCTGATCGCACCTCTCACCAAACTATATAACGCAATTAAAGACTCAGGGGAAATGCCCAAAGAAATGCTAGAAGCTTTCATTGTGACTCTGCCCAAACCAAACAAACCCCCCACAATCTGCGCTAATTTACGCCCAATTTCCCTGCTAAACGCAGACACCAAACTCTACGCTAAACTGATAGCAACTAGACTTAAGAAAATACTTCCAGATCTCATCTCGGAGGAACAGGCGGGATTTGTCCCAGGGAGACAGGTGGGAGACAACACCAGGCACTTTCTAAATCTGATAGATTGGGCAAATTTATCGTCCCAGACTGGCCTAATCTTGGCACTGGATGCCGAAAAGGCCTTTGATTGCCTACACTGGGAATATATGTCGCAGACGCTCCTCAGAATGGGATTCTCCTCAAAAGTACTATCGAGTATTCTTGCATTATATCGAAATCCGACGGCCAGAGTGTTTAGCACGGGCTTTATATCTGATCAAATAGAGATAAGAAATGGTACCCGACAGGGATGCCCCCTCTCGCCCCTTATATTTATACTAAGCCTAGAACCTCTAATTCGACTAGTAAACCGCGACCCAATAGTACAGGGACTCCACACCCCAGGCGGTGTAAAAAAACTGGCACTTTTCGCGGACGATGTTTTAGTATTCCTAACGCGTCCAGAATCCTCACTACCACAACTCATACACAGGCTCGACACATATGGACGGGTATCTTACTATAGGAACAACACGACGAAGACGCAAGCATTGCCTATAAACCTACCGAGCACTACTGTCAAGACGTTACAATCACGACACACATTTGACTGGCGAAAAACCTCTTTAAAATACCTGGGGATTAACCTCACAAAGTCCTCTCAGACCACCATACGGGAAAACCACTACCCGGTTATACAAAAGATAAGAACTATGCTAGAAAAATGGGAAGGTCTAGAAGTGTCCTGGTTAGGCCGCATAAACCTTATTAAGATGATGGTGTTGCCACACATACTATACCTGTTTAGAACCTTGCCCATTGCCCTCCCCGCCAAACTGCTAAAACTCTTTCAAAGCACAATAAATGCACATGTATGGAAACGGAAGCCCCCGAGAGTGGCAAAGAGCGTGCTGGGGCTTCCAGGCACCAGTGGGGGGCTGGGTATGCCGGACATCAAGGCTTACTATAAGGCAACCGTTTTAGCGCAGGGACTCAGGCTATTACGCTCAGCGTCTGCCACCTGTAAACCAGTATGGCTAGAAATGGAAAGTGCCTGTCTGGCAACCCGCGATTTGTCAAGAAACCTATGGGCAGGGGGACATTACCAAGATGTAGGGGGGAAACAATTGCAGAGCTCACGGTTTCTTTTAAGGGCATGGAACAACTGGAGCTCCTGTATAGTGAACTCCACAGAGCTCTTTTTAGCAGCACCCTTGGAAACACTAGAAGTACTATCCCCAGACTTGCCGATGGGCCGGTGGAAAGGGAGGGGTGAACTTCGGGTCCAGGACATACTAGAGGGAGGAAAGATTAAGCAATTCCCCACCCTGCAAAGGGAACTACAGCTACCAGCAAGGGATATTTTCAAATACCTCCGAATAAAACACATAGTGCACTCGCACATGCAACTATGCACTACTCATTCCCTCAAACCCCACATAACGCTCAAACAGGCACTTCTCCACAAACAAATCAAACCGCTCTCAGCATGTTACAACGCACTAATCAATTCAGCAGCCCCCGAAAATCATAAAACCACATACATGAATCTGTGGGAGAGGGACCTGGGACTCCAAATTCCCAAAACAGAGTGGCTAACGGCTTTGGAAATCACGAAAAAAGCATCGCAAAGCCTTACACTCTGGGAAGCGTATTGCAAAGTGCTAATGAGGTGGTACTTGGTACCACAGAGACTAGCAAGTATGTACCCGGGTACGTCCGGGAAGTGTTGGAGGTGCAACATAGGAGAGGGAACAATGATCCATATTTTTTGGACATGCCCCTCACTGACAGAGTACTGGGAGGCGGTTCACCTGCTTCTACTAAGCAGGACGGGAATCAATCTCCCCAAGAAGCCGGAACACTATATACTCCACATAATACCCAGCATAGCAACTCACCCCCATAGGAAAGTAGTGGTAAACATTCTAACGGTAGCAAAAATACTGCTAGCCAGCAATTGGAAGAGCAACAAACTACCAGTAGTAGAGGCTATAACAAATAGAATGGATATGATTAGTGTATATGAAAAAATGGCAAATAGGGTAAATGGTAGCAGTATGAGATACGACAGAGAATGGAGTTGCTGGCCAGCGGAAAGTTAGGTGGTAGAACGGGAACCGTGAAAAGGCGATGCCTACACTCACATAGAACAAGGTCCAGATGGGAGCAAGGCCAAAATACAAATGGATGCATAGGACTAAATCACCACATGTATAAAATGCTGTCTAGGGTACCCCCCCTCCCCCCCTCCCTTCTTCCTTTCTGTATCCCCCCCCAACCCAAGTTTTGTTATAAAATGGAAGAATAGGTAAAGCTTGTTGGACGTGCATCAAAAGCAGCAAATGTCATGTGTACCGCACCAACACACAAAGACACTAGGCAAATCACAGAACACAGTGCACCCGAACAAAGAGTTCCAAAGAGAGTGAACCTACTTGGGAAGCATCATAGGCTTCAAAAGCATAATCAAATGTACAAACAGTAGATATTAGAGCGATGCCATGTGGGGCAAATGGTTACACAGCTGCGACTGTGCGGGGTGTGAATGCCAGAGTGCACTGCGATGCACAAAGTCTGATAATATGTTTGTACCAATAAAAAGACAAATGAGAAAAAAACCACATCTTGAATATTCTGTGCAATTTTAGGCACCTGTTCTAAAGAAGGCTATTATGGCACAAGAAAAGGTGCAGAGGCGGGCTCCAAAACTGATAAAAGAATTAGAGCATTTTAGTTATAAAGAAAGGCTAACAAATGTAAAGCTCTTTAGTTTGGAAAAACGGCACCTCAGAGGGTATATTATATATTGTATATTATACAAATATATTTGGGGCCAATTGTCTGGACATCCATTTATAAACAGATAAAAAGACTGGAAAATATATTAAAATACTGGTAAGAGCACTAAAAAGGCATTCAAAAGGGTTTCTAAAAGATAGGGAAAAAAAACCTTCAAATTATAACAAAGTGAAAACACTAAAATTAAACAGATAAAATATACAATTCTATTAATAAGCAGCTACATGCTAATGTGGAAAAAACCCATAACACAGTTAGTTAGAAGTGTATATATAGAAGTGGAGAGCTCGACTTCTATATATACTTCCAGATAAACAGACTATACATAGGACACAATGTCACACATTTAGACTGGAAGAAAAGAGATTTAGTCTAAGGCAAAGGTTTTTTTTTGCAGTAAGAACAATAAGGATGGGGAATTCTCTGCCTGAAGAAGTGGTTTTATCAGAGTAGGTAGGCAACCGTCGGCACTCAAGATATTGTGCACTACATCTCCCCTGATACTTTGCCAGCATCATGGGATAGGTAGTCCACAACATGTGGAGTGCCGCTTCAAACTCAATTTTTGCCTTCTTTTGGATCAACAGCAAAAGCAAATGTGATAAAGGCTGAACTTGATGGACTCAAGTCTCTTTTCAGCTATGTAACTATATTTATATGATCATGATCAAGACTTAGACTAGTGCCCACAATAAATAGTTTATTGTAGATCTACTAATCAAGGTGTTTCACAGAATTAGTACATATATTTCAGTTGACGAATGAAATAATTTTATAACTGAAGAATTGATCGCCAAGCAAATGTATATTATTTAGGACCCTGTCAAAAAAGTACAAGAATCATCATATTTAATTTGTATGTATGAAGAGAAATCTTATTAAAATCTGGTCAAGTCAAGGGACACCCAAATACAAAATAATTAAAAATCATAAATCTAGTTTAGTAGATACCCCAAATGAAAACTTGCATATATTTATTGATTGATTGATTGATTGATTTTATGGATTTTTTTCTTTGCTGGTATGTATAAAAACTGCTTGCAAAACCTGCAGATCTCTCATCTGCTGAATTTGCAAACCCTCGTACCCAATCTTTCTGACTGTCCAATCACAGACTTCCCAGCACAACTCAATGAAAATCAGGTGCTCTGGGCAATTGCTGCCTCTTGAGTTAAGCTACATTGAGCTAACCAAACCAGGAAGTAACATTACCCATTGTCTGCTTGAAAGTCAAGGGGGTGTCCTCAGGCTCATTTATAAAAGTGTAAATTTCTATTGAAATCTGCACTTTTTTTCGGGGTATTCTGTCAAAAGGGTTTTTTCTATCGCAGTTGAATTAATAAAGATGATAGGGACTCCTCTCATCCCTAAAGCTTTAACTAAATGGGAAACATCTAGCAATTTCTATTCCACTTAATAGTTGGTGTAAATCCTTTGTAAGGACTAAAAAAATTATTCATTGTTTGAATATTTTAGAGACCTTTATTAAAGTATTATATAGATGGTACTTGGTACCTATTAGACTTGCTAAAATTTCTATTACTAATCCATCTAATTGTTGGCGGTGTTTTCATCCAGATGGCTCAATGGTACATATATGGTGGTCCTGCCACCGAATTAAATCTCTTTGGATGATTACATATGAATTTATAAATAGATTGGGAGGTTCTTATTTGGAATTTAAACCGGAAATCGCTCTACTCCATCTTTTGGGCTCAGAAATGAAGGATAATTTTGATATTGTGATTATACACTGCTTAATGGCTACTAAAATATTAATTGCTAGATTTTGGAAAAGCATTGATATTCCTACGAGAGACCAAGTTAAAGCCCAACTCTTATTCCAAGCTGAGATGGAAAAGGGATTATTGTCTATGAGAGGATATTCTAACTTTAAGGCTCTGTTGTTCTATTCTAGTTTTGTCCAAAAAATCAATAGGCTTTAATGCATTTGATTTGGTGGGGTATTTCATACGATTTCCCTACGGTTGGTCTGATGTCTTCATTGGGGGTTCTATTATTAGTCTCCTTGGCCTTATATTGCTTTTTTTTTTTAAGTGTGGTATCGGATCTGCAATACATATGACCAGTTTTGTCTTTGTTTTTGTTTATGTCTATTTTATCTATAAGGTTTTATTTAGGCCGTTTTTGGACCACGATATCCATTCGATAGGATGTTTATGTTATTAGATTGTGTCCTAGACGGATTATTGATGAAATTTGAAATAGAATATTGTATCTATGTATGTTTAGTGGGGATGGGAATCCTTATTTTTTTTTCTCTGTAAGGTTCCCCCCCCCCTGTGTGTTGTTTCTGTCTATTAATATTTTCATGAAAAAATGTAATAAAAAGAATAAAAAAAAAAAAGAAATCTGCACTTTTTGCAAAATGAAAAAAAATAAATAAGAGCACAAACTCATCACACATAAAGCTTTTCGGCAAGCTAAAGTTGTTTAGGGGTCTGGAGTGACCCTTTATTGCAGGTTTGGTGTATAGCTCATGCCCCTGCAGTCTTACTGCTCATTGCCTTTAATATTTCTTTAATAAGCAACAACAAAAAATAATTAAAAAGGAAAATGAGGAGGTAGGGAATGGGATCACCACTTTTATTATTTACATTATATATTCCTATTCATAACTTAGTGCTTACAAACATACAAAATTTAGCACTGTGCTCTAACTCCCACTACTCCTGGGTGGCAGCAATGATTATAGTACACATCAGCCCCAATATATACAATAAAAACCAACAACAACAAAAAAGGTACATGCACACTATTCCAAATCCCTATGCACAATTAAATAACTGGAGGTTTTTAGTATGACTCCAATGGCCATTTAAGTGTAAGCTCACCTGCCAAGTCGAGGCAGTCCTCTTAGGAAAGTCCTACACTATCAATTCACCTTGCTGTCTTCATCCTAAAGGTAAAATCTCTAATGAGACAGAGAGGCGTATTGCTGCCACCCAGGAGTAGTGTGAGTCTGATTTTTTGTTTGTGTTTGTATTATACAGCCATGTTACAATGCTGCCAGCCACCCCACGTGTTCCCTATTAAGGGTTACAAGTACAAGACACAATTAATAGACTGAGCAGTCAATATACAAATACAAGTAATAGGGGTATATTATTAGTGGTGATCCCATTCCCTTCTTCCTCATTTTCCTTTTTTTTTAATTCTGGCTAACTAGTTGCAGTGTGTGTACCTTTGATTTCTGTGTTGTCCCAATTTTACGGCAAGACAGGAGGCTTCATATTTGCTTTAACCTTCTTTACTGAACCTCCCAGCAGCAAAGAAATAGTTAAACATGTAGAGAAAAATCAACCAATCAGGACACATCTTAGAACATATTAGTCTGTGAGACTCCTCCCAACTCCTCTTTCTTTGCTGCTTGCCTCCCAGGTGAGTCTATTCCAATTCTCTCTCGCTCTCTTTCTCTCTCTCTCTTTCTCTCTCTCTTTCTCTCTCTCTCTCTCTCTCTCTCTCTCTCTATACATATATTATTAACCTGCATTACCTTTGTTTTCCTTAGATATTTTTACTCCTTAAATTTATTTTTTCTCTTTCTGTTGTTTTCTTGAAGAAAATGTTTATTTATTTTATCTCTGCCCTTTATGACACTGACCTTTCTAGCAGGTCAGCCCACTGTCCAGTCCCTTCCCTGTGATTTTCGTTAATCTCTCTAATTTATTAGGACTTTATCTGGACTTTGCACCTTACTAAAACGTTTTTGGCGAGATTTTTTATCACGTTATAGTCACGCCCATGATCTATCTGAACCGCCCTTTTTTGCGCAATTTGATAGATGTGCAAACCCGCCTCCCTCCTTCCCCCTCTTTTATTTGGTGGTTTGTTTTTTCTGGTTTTGTGCGCTTTTTATGACAGCTCTCCGCTCTGTGCTCCATGCCCGATCGGAATTGCATCTCTGTCAAAACGTAAGTAAGCATTGATCTATGCCCCCTGCTGGTACTGGTATTTTGTTGTTACAGTTCCTTTAGTGAACACCTTGCTTATTTCAGTCTATTTGTTTTTATTTCAGCTTGCCCCTCATTATATACACAGCTCTGTGCCTATTGGAGGGTGACCCCCCTCGTGCCTCTTTTTTGAGGGTGACACCCTCTTTCCTTACTTCTGAGGGTGAACCCCTCTGCCCCTCTGCCTTACTAAATTACCCTCCAGGGTAAACCCCTTGTTTTTATTGATTAGAGGGTTACACCTGTCATTATTATATTGCCATAACTCTGTGCATGAACCCCACTGATGCCTTGTTTTTCAACTGCATTTAGCCTTAGTTACCTACTCTGAGTCCCCTTTAAAGGTGACTGAATATTTTATCTGGGTGTATCCAGGGCTCGAGTCCTGCAGAAACGCGTGGGAATGGCGTTCCTGCACTTTTTCCATAGCAGGAACGCCGTTCCCATTAGTGGTTCTGCTGCTCCTGCAGGACTTGTTTGCCCGCGAGGCTAACAAGGCATTTGCATTGGTAGCCTCGCGGGCAGCGAGGGAGCACTGATCTGTGTGCTCTCCCTGCTCAGCTCCCTCTTGCGCCGCAGAGTGATGCCGGGAGCCGCAATATGACGTCATATTCCAGCTCCCGGCATCACTCTGTGGCGCAAGAGGGAGCTGTGCAGGGAGAGCTCACAGATCAGCGCTCCCTCGCCGCCCGCCTGGACCTTCACTGCCCACACAGCCCAGCCAGCAGCCCC